TTTGGGCTTTTGCCAGGTGAGTGTTTTCATATGTGTGTCTATTTATATATGCCTTTTGTTTGTGGGTGCACTTCTGCTTGCTTGCAAAGAGTGCAGAGGAAATTTAGTTTGCTGCAACAAATTTGCTTCCTTTCCTTTTATAGCAGACAGGTTTTCAACCTGGCAGCAGTAGAGAAGTACTTGGTGGCTGAAAGGTGAATTAAGACCAATTGAAGCTACAGAGAAAGTACAGTTTTGACTCGGAGTTCAGGGCAGCCCTGTGGCCAGTATTAGCATCATTAGGTCACCTCCTGTGTAACAGACCCTTTGGGATGAACGTGAGTGCTTCTAAAATGAGTATTTAGGTAAGGAGCCAGATAGCATCATCTCAGCTGCTGGCAGGTGAAGGTGCAAAATTTTCCTTTCCAAAATCATCTCGCAATCCCAATTTTGAAAAAGAAATGAGATGGAGTAATAAACGTTTGATGTTGCCCAAGTAAAAGAAGCGGTGAAAGAAGGTGCTCCCAGCAAACCCAGACTATGTTCTCGTGATTTGGAGCTGCTCTTTGTCTGCTTCTGTTTTTTCCCTTCCATCCAAGAGGCAGAACAGAYTATGGGACTTCATTTGACATTAGAAAGCTACATGTACTTCTGTCCTGAGAAAGTATTGCCAAGTCACTGGAAGACAAGAATAAATAAGGGGAAAAGGCCTGATGGAGTCCAATGCATCTTACAGAACAGACTTGTGGAGTAGCTGGTTCATGTTTCGGACTGTGTCTTACAGACATTGCCTTTTCTTGAGCAAAATTCCTCCTCTGAGCGAGCAAGGTTGCCTTGACAAAGAGCCACCACATGCAGCTGCTGTGAGGCAGAACATGTTAAGGCAAGGATTGACAAGAACAGATTCCTAAACTCTGCGTCATCCGGTGCAAGGCTGGAAGCAGAGCTCTGAGGGATTTTTCTGAAAGGGGGAAGAAGAAAGGAGAGAGTTTGCAAAGTTACTGAAGTTGTATCAGGGYGATAGGACTCATCCGGACCCTTCTCTCTCTAACGCTGATCAAAGGTTTTGTGCTGGAGGAGCTGCAGCCAGGACGGGCTCCAGGCTGCTCCACATCTACATGAGGGACTTGTTGGAGGGASGTCTGTGAGGATAGCACAGGAGCGAGAGGAGGTTCTGAGGGATGGCCTTGGCAGTGGCCCAGTCCTCAGAGCCCGTCTCAGGGACACTGGGCTAAATTTCTGTGTATTTTTTTTTTGCATGCTACATTTAGTGTACTTCTCAGATGACTAAAGCAGATGATTCCTCATTCACAAGTCTCTTGTGCTATCATTCATAGCAGCAGCATTCTGWTTTCTTTCTTCTGGTGGCAAGTGTTTTATTCTGCATGGTAATGGAAGGCAGGAAGCAGAATCATGCCCTTGAACTACTTAAATTACCCATTTTGTGCAGTGTTTCCCCAGAGATCAGTACAGGGGCGAGTAGAGTTAAATATCATCAGTGCTGTGAAGGATGGTATGGATGTACCCTCATCACGTCTGCTAATTACACCAGGTTGGGAGAATCAGCAACCGTCCTGAAAGTGTCTTATGAGCTTAAACTCATGTAGTTAAGACATTAGCTTAGACATTTGCTTCTGTCTCTGTCCTTATCCAGTGCAAAAAGCTGCTTAGTGCTTGAGATACAAATTATGGTGGCCAATTATGGCAGGTTGATGCAAGATCCCCACCTCCTCAGTTGCAGAAGCTGAAGGGTGGCCCAGGAACCAAGGCAGAGACAGGAGATGCTGTGTGTGTAGGCAGAGGAGTCACGATGGGTGTTTTCATCCTGGCTTGGGCTGTGTTGTTCCTAATTGGTGTTGCACAAGGCATGTATTAGTATTCAAGCAAAGCCTTTCAAACCTCCTCACTCATTGCAGGGTCTTTAGTTTGTGCATGGGGGATTTCAGGCATCCAGAACATGTAAAAGTGTCTCTAATGAGTGGGTGATCTCCACTGGACTTASAAAATGTGGTAAAAAGTGTAGAGTAGCCTGGAAAAAAATATCAATCCCAAATATATGACAGTAGGAAAACAAAAATGGTTTTGTCCTGAGCATTTGACACTTTGAGCCTGAAGCATTTTGTCTTAGTTCCTCTCTGGAAGAACAAATGTAATGTCACCTGCGTGCTTCTGGAAAGAGCTGGTTAGAGTTTAGATCTTAAAACTGCAGGAAAAGCACTTGTGGAAAAGAAAAARGGATGTGTTGACTTACTACGACTGATAATTAAGAAATGAAATAAACTATAAAGACTTTGCATATCTGGGCAATATCTGCCTGCAAGGCGGTGAAGAGTAGAGGGCCTCCAMTTGCAAGCTTGGCTCTGTGCCCTGCATAAAAGGTTTTGGCTTTGCTTTGGTTTCCCTTGGTTTCTGAAAGTGCTGGAGTTCACTGATATGTAACCACATCTGAGATAAAAGGTGGTGCCTAATTAATTTAGAATATAAAAACAGAGAAAGCCCTATCCCTTTTCTGACTACTATATAATCTTTAATATCAACACCAAGCAAATAACTATTGTTCTTTTATTTGTTTATTTTTTCCAACTGTTGCATAAGGGGAAAAAAAATAGCTAGGCTGCAAAAATTATTGTATCTTTAAAAGATTCAGGAGCTGTCACAGAAGCATGTCCCCTTGCCCTCCCTGGACGATGGACTCTCATGGCATTTTTCATCCTGGAGAGGAAAAGACTTTTATCATTAGAAGTCAAATGGCAGAGTCTCGAATGAGAATGACCTGGAGTCCTTTTCTGGAGCTAGGACCACTCTGTGCTGTGTCCATTTGCCACCACTGGTTAAGTCAGAGCTGCAAACATCTGGATGAACATCTGGATGGAAATGCTGTTCCAATAGTGGATCTACCAGTTGGGCAGTCAATGGCTTTCTGGAAATCCTGAAGCCTACATCAAGTAGCTCTTACAGAAAGACTCTTCCTCACAAATGCAGCCATGCAGAGTAGCGCTATGGATGTGCACTAGCTGCCCAGGTAGCTGCCAGTGTGTGGGCAGCTCTTGCAGAACACTAAGTATGGGATAAATTCACTATATATGGTTTCTCAATAGTTCTTCTGGGTAAACACACTCATGGTGGCTTTCGCTATCTCTCTGGGCTTCTTCAAGCAACTCTGGAATTTGTTGGATGACCTGGATAATCTAGGCAGACGCCTTCTGCTTCTGACTTTGGATGGAAAGTAACATAGAGATGTATTATTACGGGGCCCTCGGGATGGTATCTGATGCTGAATAAATCCAGACATGAAATTAGGATGTTGTGAAATTAGGTAGCATGGAGGACAGCTATCGTGAGGTTCCCAAACTTCATTTGCCTGGGTAGCAACRCTGGCTCGGTGCATACAGACACCCACCACCTCTTGGCAGCAGTCATGGTTATGGCACCCCCCACAGCTGCAAAATACCTCTTGTTTTACAAGTACAAGCAAATTCTATGCAGAAATTTGCAACAATTATTGTCCAATTTACCACCCTGTAAGCTAATCCATGAGCTCAATGTAAGACCAGCTACTACTAAAGATGTATTCCATTCTCGAATCTAAACACAAGAGACACATCACTAAGTTTTTTTTTTTTTTTTAGAGTAAGGTAACTGGCTAAAAACCGAAGCCTGAGAGCATAGAAGACTTCATTCATCCCATGTTTTATTCCTGCCCTCTGATGAACATCCATAGTCACTTTTCTCTGTTAGCTAGGGTGGTTCAACCATTGCCACACTATCAGGAACTTTCAGTTGTTGTTTTGGGCTTGACTGATTCAYTTACAAGATGCTACATGATTTCAAGTCTTTGAAATTGCATAATTTACAATTCTCTGTCAGCTAGAGACAGAATTTCATGTCTCCATTTCTCTGCTTGCCTGCTTCATGCAGGACTTGGGCAAAGGCAGGTGTCTGTCTTCTGAACTCTGTGTTGCTCTAGGTTGCTTGCCACAGTAGTGGGAAACAGGAAGGAAATATGAGTTCATGCTTGTCTAACTTTGACCTTGGAGGCTGCAGCTATTGCTTCTGGTCAAGACCAAACTGTCAGTATCAGTATTGCCCAGTAAAAGAGTAAGATAAAAGTCTAATAAGGGCAGAATATTCCACATCTGCCTGCTGTGTGTACCTTCCTCAAAAGCACCCAAGGCTGGTGATTTCAAAGAAAAACAGCACTAGATTAAGAAATCTTGAATCCAAAGATGTAGGGCATTATTTTGGTATACAAGGGCTTAATTCTTCTCTTTCACCTGCAAAATTGCTTCACGTTCCCAGGGTTAATTAGAGTTGTGTGAGACAAACAGCATGTCATTAACTTCTCCTTACCATTTTTTTTTTTTTTGGAGCTTGGAATTAATACTTTACCACATGCTGGATACTCTCTGAGTGCTGGAGAGGCTTGTTTTTTTGGCTCAACAGGACTGCTATTTAAGTAAGGCTATTCGTGTGAGCATTTTCATTAAACACAGTTTTAGAAACTCCTAATCTGCATGCATACTAAGTGCTTCCAGTTATTTATTCTCAACCTCACTGTTTTTTTAAAGTCTGTCGCCTTACAAATGAATTACTTGACCTCGAATGAGATGACTAAATGCCAGGGCTACAGAAAAGAAACTCTGAAAACAGTTCTATGCAAAGAATCACCAATATGCAAGGCTAAACTAACTGAGGAAAACTAGTAATTTCTTTAATTTCACTGGGATCCAGTGCTGTTTGAATCGACAATGCTTTTAGTTGAGAGATGCGTGAATTTAGCTCGGCAGGGTCATTTTGGCAAGACGGCAAATCCCAAAGACATGCTGAAGCGTGGCTTGTGACAAGACTTCCAGAGGCTTTGGGGCAGCCTTCTCTTTCCAGGGTGTTTGTGCCAAGGTTCGCTGCAGACCGCGGGGTCAGGCAGCCCAGTTAAACGGGAGTTGTTGGCCAACGCTCAACAGCAGCTCCTGGCCTTCTGCACGGGAGCGTTTGCTGCCGTCTCACCTTGGTTCTGTGCAATATGGTGGGGCTCCGACGTATGGTGAATGCAGCCTTCCTCAACATGAACGAGTGATTACAGGGCAGTGCTGACAGGGCTTCGGGTTTCTGACAAGGTCRCTGTGTCTCTTTTTTAATCAGGGACACGCAGAGCCCTGCTCAGCTCTCCYTTCTGGCTAACACCCATGTTCACTGAGCGTTTTGGCAACAAGTTCACAGCTTACCTTATCCACTTCCTAATGATCTTTGAAGATGCTGACTGAACAGCTCTCTTTGTCTTTCTACCCTCTCATTTACCTGGATATCAGCCGCCTAAATATTTGTGAGTCCTTTGTACCTGTCCACATTTGGTACGGATTTGGTACATATTTGGTACATAGCCTACATGTGCGATCGGGCCTTCCAAAGGAGGCCCGACATGGGCAAGAAGGAACAGGGCTTATATCCAAGGGCGTGCCGAGGTGCCTGGCGTGAACACGGGAGAGGAGGGAGCTGGGGAAGGGTGTGTTTGGATGCGGGGAGCCAACCAGCCCCGGGAGCACAGGGAGTGGCTGGGAGCGGGGCTGTATAACGGGCAGGCCGACATGGATCGCCCTAGACGAGGGCGCTGCAAAGCTTGGGCGGGTGCAGCTCGGCGCTGACGGCGCCTCTGGCAGCGCGCATGGCTCCGCAGACCGGCCCCACCAAGAAGGAGACGCAACCGCTCGCAGCCTTTCCACGGCTTTTCACTTGGGAAGAGGTCAGGGTCCACAACGGTCGYGGCCAAGGTCGGGAGCAGTGGCTGGTGATCAACAGGAAGGTTTACGATGTCAGCGAGTTTTCCAATCGGCACCCTGGAGGAAAGCGAGTTATTGGCCACTATGCTGGGCAAGACGCTACGGTAAGACCTGGAAGCCCATTGAAGAAGGTGGTCCAATCTCAGGGCAGAAGGACAAGGTGGGACAAGAGAAAACTTGTGATGCTGGAGCTCCTGGCTCTGCTTAGTCAGATATCGCAGCTGGGCTGTCTCTGAGGATGCCCTTCTTCACACCTTTGAGGTCAGACTTAGTGGCTAGGCTAACCCTAAAGCTCTGCTTTAGGTTCGTTACACCCTGATGTGAACAGACTACATCCATTCAGGTTGTCTCACCACCAGGCATGATGAGGCCGGCTATCTTCCAGATGCTTGAGAAGTGTGTGCATTGCAGCAGGGAGAAAGGGAAGAGATAGAAGGTGGTACCCTTGGTGTGAACCTCCACTGTAAGGCTGCTCTTTCAGAGTGACACAGATGCCATCAGGGACAAGAAAAGGAAAGCAAAGATAGAGCAAGGGGAGCAAAGGAGAAGACAGTTGAGCAAAGAGGTTATTTCAGCAGAAGATGAGGAGAAAAGTCTACAAATAGTTATTATTCAAAAGAGGATTTTCTGGAGATTCCTGCAAAATTTCTTGATGTAGATTTTTTGTTTTTTAATAGTTCGATGTTGGCAGAAATGAWTCATTTTTAGACAGATCTCACAGACTATTCACTGGAAGTTGATATTGAATTTTCAGTCAGAAACRCGCACATTAGAAACTAGCTCAGGATCAGGGTCTAAACTTGTGACTTAGTTCAATTCTTGTCATGGTAGAATTTCTGTCTTTATATGTGAAACTATCTCTGAGATTCCCCAATATTCAGTTTGTTTCATGGATTAGCGCTATCTAAATCATGGACCACAATGGATCAGATAGGTTGTTTTCACATTTAATTTCTCTCATCCTGCTCTCTAGTTTGAGAAATACACACTTTCTTAGAAAAGCGGGACTGGAAGGTGTCTGAAGAGGTGATCTGGTACATGCCTTTGCCAAAAGCCAGGCTCCAAGACTTTTCTTTTTCTGCATATTCTCAGCTTCCTCTATGTGCTTTATTTTGSAAATATAGACAGTATGCATTGCAGAACATTACACTGATGTGAGAGGTTAGGTGCTTTGCAGATGTTAATCTGCAATTTAAAGTTAATCCCTCAGAAGGTGGTAATGAGGATGCAAGAAAGGACAGGTTGCAGGACTGAAAAGCTTGCATTTTTTCTGATGCCAGACAGCACAAGGAATATAGTTAGCCTCTTTGCCTTCCTTCTGGAAAACTCACAAAAAGTCTGGAAAATTGAGCAGATGGGCAAAGCAGGAGCTTGTTTTTTTCTGTCTCCTTGATGCCACACTTCAGATCGCCTTTCAAAGCAGTACTGTAAATGACAATTAAACAGAGCTATTTGTATCTTTAGTATTATATAGATAATTCTTTTCAGGATAATCAATTCTAAGACTTACAGGGAACTGCAGGAGATGCCCAGCTGTGTTAGCCCTGCTGTGTTTGCAGCTTCAGTACATGCCTAGCATGACAAAAGCAGGATTTTAAAGGCATCCTTGTTTTCCTCTAAGCATGGCAAAGAGACACTCATTCACCGACCTGTTTTGCTACTCCTGGGTCCCATCCATAGGGCAGGGCTGTTGGCTGGAGCCTTCTAAGGAAGGACTGTGCTGAAACCAGCAGATGAAAGAGCAAGCTTTCCTCAGCAAGGAGCTTTTCATCAAATACTTTCAGGTTTATTATCAGCCTCACCCAGGTACTTTCATGMCATCTATTTTCTTGAAACATCTCCAGCTTCCTTGAGTCTATCTCCAGTTGGTGGCAAAGGACTATATGAGCAATTAGGAGGAACAAACATCTGAAAATCTCTGGACTGGAGGAATTGGGATCACATATTGTGTCAATGACCTGGAAATTCTAGGGCCTGGGCATTTGGACACAATCCCTTTCTTACTCCATTTCTTTGCGTGTTTCTCAGGATGCCTTTGTAGCCTTTCACAATGATAAGGATCTGGTGAAAAAGTACTTGAAACCTCTGCAGATTGGGGAGCTGGCGCCGGACCAACCCAGCTCGGAGGCTAATAAAAAAGTGAGTAATCTCCAATCCAGCCTTGGGAATGGAGTGGGGCTCCATGTGGGAGGAGAACCAAGCAAGAGTGCTCACAGATCTATCTTCTGAAACAGTATGGTTGACTCTGTGTCAGGCTGGGTGGTGGGGATGCTGCTGGCATTAGCCACACATGAAAATTTGCTCTCCCAGAGTGGCCAAAACRGTACCTGGGTTGGGGAATAAGCCCCAAAGTGTGTTCAGGTCTTCCCACTGTGGTGTCTCAAGCACAGAGCATGCTGCCACCTTCTCTTCCAGTTTCAGGGCTAAGCAAGATCTCTTGATCTTGCACTCCTTCTTACACACAGACCCCTGTGATGGAAGGTTTATGAAATACCTCCACCAGCATTCACAAATCCTCTGGGATTCCTGTGTCTGCTCTGTTAYGTTTTCAAAGTGGACAGTGCATTAATACTCACTTTGCCCACAGGAATCGCTCCTAGAGGATTTCCGTGAGCTGCGCTGTGATATTGAGAAGAAGGGACTTCTGAAGCCAGATTATACCTTTTTCTTCCTCATTTTCCTTCACCTCCTGATACTGGATGTTTCAGCCTGGCTTGTAGTCTGGTACTTCGGGATATCCTCAGTGCCTTTCTTTGCTGGCGTTGCACTCTTCACCATTGCTCAGGTAAGCTGCTGACACCCCTTCGGCAACGCGGATGCGTTCGGTGCTTCCGCATGGAGCAGATTAATGAAGTATTGCTGCCCTTGTCATTGCTTTACTGCCTTCTCTCAGATCCTTGTAAACCTGGTTGAGGACAACAAGAATGTTCTCCTTCACAGTTTCYACTGCCTCCAGCAAGTCTAGTTTTGCTGACAAGCTGCTCATCATGGTTGCAGGAGTACTGGGAATTAGAGTGCTGGCAGTTTCACAATCACAAGACAGGCAGAATTGATCTAATCACTTATTAGATCAGCCAAAAGAGGGAATACTTGACTCCTCTTCTGGCTCCACGTTTCTTCTGGTTACTTCCTGATGGCTCTGATGCTKTCTGAGTCCCTTGCGAGCCAGTTCTCACTAACCCTGAGTAGTTTTCTGCTGGATTAGTAAACTAAATCCTTTCATAGAGGACATGATAAATGTTACAGTCAGTGCAGGAAAGGAGGAATCAGGACTTTGTGGTCCTTGGGAGAAAAGGCTGGAAGAGTGAGGAGAGAAAGCAAGCAAGACTTTCTTCAGAGTGCTCTAAGATCAAGTTTGCTCAGCCGTACTCTAAACCAATGCAGAGTAACTCATTTTTGTCTGAAGCAG